GGGAACCTCAATCCCTCCCACTCCTACCAGCTTGATGCCAGTGCCAGCAATAGATGCCCAGAGCCTGGAGAGGGGTCACAGGTGATCAGGAAAGCACCCGAAGAGCAGCACAATGGAATTCCAGCCAGTAAGTCAGCTTCAGTGGGGGACCAACTTAAATGCCTCTATGCAAACACACACAGCATGGGGAATAAACAGGATGATCTGGTGACATGTGTATGCCTGCAGGGCCGCGATTTTACTGGCATCACAGGAGATGAGGTGGGGTAGCTCCTATGACTGGAGTGTTGGGATAGAAGGATACAGGCTTTTTAGAAAGGACAGGCAGGGGAGACAAAGGAGGGGGGTATCACCCTGTAGGTCAGCGACAAGCTGGAGTACATGGAGCTCTGCTTGGGGATGGATGACAGAGTTTATGGGTCAGGATTAAAGGGACAGCAGGGACAGGAGATACTAGAGTGGGGGTCTGCTACAGACCACGTGACCAGGAAGACCAAGTGAATGAGGCCCTCACTGTAGACAGATAGGAGCAGCCTCACATTCACAAGCCCTGGTCCTCATGGGGGACTTCAGCAGCTCCAGTATCTGTTGGAGGGAATGCACTGATGATAACTTGTTACTCTGAGTGATAGAGGAGCCAACAATGAAAGGTGCTGGACCTTGTTCTCACCAACCGGGAAGCGCTGGTGGGGAATGTGAAGCTCAAGGGCAGCCTTGGCTGCAGTAACCGTGAAATGCTGGAGTTAAAGATCTTTAGGGCAGTGAGGAGGGTGCACAGCAAGCTTGCTGCCCCAGGCCTCAGGAGAGCAGACTTTGGCCTCTTCTGGGATCTGCTTGTCAGAATATCATGGGATAAAGCCCTGGAGGAAAGAGAGGCCCAAGAAAGCTAGTTTATATTCAAGGATCACCTCCACCAAGCTCAGGAGCAAGGCATCCCAACAAAGACAAAGTCAGGTAATAACACTGGGAGGCCTGTATGGATGAACAAGATGCTCCTGGACAAGCTCAAACATAAAAAGGAAGCCTACAGAATGTGGAAGCAAGGACAGGTAGCCTGGAGGGAATACAGAGAAATTGTCTAAGCAGCCAGGGGTCAGGTTAGAATAAGTGAAAGCCCTGACAGAATTAAATCTGGCTGGGGACATCAAGGGCAACAAGAAAAGCTTCTATAGGTACGTCAGTGATAAAAGGGAGACTAGGGAAAATGTGGGCCCTCTGGAAGGAGATGGGAGACCTGGTTATCTGGGACACAGAGAAGGCTGAGATACTCAACAACTTTTTTTGCTTCAGTCTTCACCAGCAAGGGCTCCAGCCACACCACCCAAGTCACAGAAGGCAAAGTTGGGAATTGGGAGAATGAAGAACCATCTGCTGTAGTAGACAATCAGGTGCAAGACCATTTAAGGAACCTGAAGGTGCACAAGTACATGGGACCTGATGAGATGCATCCAAGGGAACTGGTGGATGAAATAGCTAGGCTACCATGCATCACATTTGAGAAGCCATGGCAGTCCAGTGAAATTCCCTGACTGGAAAAGGGGAAGAAAGATAAACCCCATTTTTAAAAAAGGAGAAAAAAAAGACCTGGGGAACTACAGGCTAGTCAGTCTCACCTCTGTGCCAGGCAAGATCATGGAGCTTCTTCCTGGAAGCTGTGCTAGGGCACATGGAAAATAAGGAGGTGATTGGTGATAGCCAGCATGGCCTTACTAAGGGCAAATCATGCCTGATGAATTTGGTGGCCTTCTATGACAGGGTTACAGCATTGGAGGATAAGGGAAAAGTGTCTGATATCATCTACCCAGACTTGTGCAAAGGATTTTACACTGTCCTGCACAACATCCTTGTCTCTAAATTGGAGAGATGTGGATTTGGCAGATGGACCACTCAGTGAATAAGGAGTTGGTTGGATGGTCACACTCAGTTGCAGTCAATGGCTCAGTGTCCAAGTGGGGAGAGCAGTGACAAGTGGCATTCCTCAGGGGATGGTCTTGGGACCGGTGCTGTTTAACATCTTTGTTGGTGACATAGTGGGGTTGAGTGCACCTTCAATGAGTTTGCCGACAACACCAGGCTTTGTAGTGCAGTCATGCTGGAGGGAGGGGATGCCATCCAGGGGGACCTTGGCAGGCTTGAGAGGTGAGCCTGTGCAAACCTCATGGGATTCAACAAGGCCAAGTGCAAGGTCCTGCACATGGGTCAGGGCAATCCCAAGCACAAATACAGGCTGGGCAATGACTAGATTGAAAGCAGCCCTGAGGAGAAGAACTTGGGAGTATTAGTGGGTGGACTATAAGCTAGCAATTTGCACTTACAGCCCGGAAAGCCAACTGCATCCTGGGCTGCATGAAGAGAAATGTGGCCAGCAGGTCGAGGTGATGATTCTCCCCTCTGCAACATTCTCGTGAGACCCCATCTGGAGTTCTGTGTCCAGCTCTGGGGCCCCCAGCATAAAAAGGACATGGACCAAACTGCATTAGTTTCAATAAGGCCAAATGCTGGGTGCTGCACTTGTGCCATAACAACCCCCAGCAGCGCTACAGGCTTGGGGAGGAGTGGCTGGAGAACTGCCAATCAGAGAGGGACCTGGGGGCTTGATTGACAGCTGGCTGAACAGGAGCCAGCAGTGTGCCCAGGTGGCCAAGAAGGCCAATGGCATCCTGGCTTGTGTCAGCAATAGCGTGGCCAACAGGGACAGGGAAGGGATCTTTCCCCTTTACTCAGCACTGGTGAGGCCGCCCCTCGATTCCTGTGTTCAGTTTTGGGCCCCTCACTACAAAATGGACATTGAATGACTCGAGCGTGTCCAGAGAAGGGCAACGAAGCTGGTGAAGGCTCTGGAGTACAGGTCGTACAAGGAGCGGCTGAGGGAACTGGGGTTGTTTAGTCTGGAGAAGAGGAGGCTGAGGGGAGACCTCATCGCCCTCTACAGCTCCCTGAAAGGAGGCTGCAGAGAACTGGGAATAAACTTCTTTAACCAAGTAATAAGTGATAGGACAAGAGGGAATGGCCTCAAGTTGTGCCAGGGAAGGTTTAGACTAGATATTAGGAAGCATTTCTTTCCAGAACGGGTTGTTAGGTGTTGGAATGGGCTGCCCAGGGAGGTGGTGGAGTCCCCATCCCTGGAGGTGTTTAAGAGTTGGGTTGACATAGCGCTGAGGGATCTGGTGTAGTTGGGAACTGTCAGTGTTGGGTTGATGGCTGGACTGGAGGATCTTCAAGGTCTTTTTCCAACCTAGATGATTCTGTGATTCTGTGACCCGCTCAAGCAGGTCCAAAGGAGAGCCACAAAGATGATGAAGGGGCTGGAGCACCTCCCCTGTGAGGACAGGCTGAGAGAGTTGGGGTTGTTCAGCCTGGAGAAGAGAAAAGGACACCTTATAGCGGCCTTCCAGTACTTCAAGAGGGCCTACAGGAAAGATGATTTGTCAGGGAGTGTAGGGATAGGATAAGGATTAATGGTTTTAAACTGAAAGAGGATAGATTTACATTAGATAGAAGGAAGGAATTCTGTCTTGTGAGGGTGGTGAGACATTGGAAGAGGTTACTTGGAGAAATTGTGGCTGCCCCCTCCCTGGAAGTGTTCAAGGCCAGGCTGGATGGGGTTTTGAGCAACCTGGTCTAGTGGAAGGTGTAGTGGGGGTTGGAACTAGATGACCTTTAAGGTCCTTTCCAGCCCAACCCATTCTATGATTCTGTGATTTCAGTTGCTTCTAGTGGGTATACGTACTGTATGTGTAGTGGATATACATGGTTATATGAATAAGCAGATAAAGAAAGTATGGCTAGTATGCTGGAAGCCATGGATGAAACTGAAATCAAAGCCATTTTCTTCATTATCAAAAAAACTACTATGGTATCATGATCCAATTTCTGTCACTGGCGTAATATCATATAAAATGCTTTATGTTTGTAGATTTGTGCTATTGACATAAACAAATACAAGAATAAATATAAATTTATTTAAATATACTTTAGAAAGTACTATCTAAAAATTTCAAAATGGGTATATGCAAATGACTCTCCAAACCTGGCTCATTTACCATATATTGTGCTCAGAATGGACTTAAGCACTTGGTAGCTGGCTTGCTTAGTAAGGGCTTGAGTCTGTCTTCTTCCCTGCCCCTTCTCTTTTTCATCCTTGTCTCTACAATTAATAATATGAGAATGTAATTTTTAACACATTTCTACTGAGTTCTTGGCTGTTCTTAACAGTGGGTAAAAGTGGTGTTTCTCTTCTGTTGTTGTTTTTCTGGGGAGTGTGTGTTTTGTTGTTACCACTGTAGCTGCTAGATAGTTAGTCACTATGAAGGCATGTATAAGTGAATTGTATCCATCACTGACCATGGCATAAGTGTAACCTTGTCAGTGATGGATACAATTCCATCATATGTAAAACAGTTGTTAATGAATGTACATCAGTAAACACATTTTCCATGACTCTGAATGCTTGGCTGTCTGAAAACTATAATATTGTGAAAAGACCTGCTACTTTGATCTGCTTGGCCTTATGAGGTTGGTATAAAAATTCAAATGGTAAGAGTAGTATTATAAAACTCTTTGCTTTAAAAGTTGGAATGCTACCATTTAACATGTATTGTGGGGGTGTTTTTCTTTTCTTGCCTGATTCTTGGGAATGGAGCCAAATTCTTTTGGATTTTAGGAACTTGACTCCTGTTCCTCTGCCCCTCAGAAAATCCCCGAGTGATATTACCATTTCATTGAAGTGGGAGGTAGTTTGTGCTGACTTCACTCAAGTCTGAAATAGTGAAATTAGGTCAAATTATTATTTGAATTTCCTTTAATTTGATATTGTGCTGACTGCACACACCTGTATTAAGTGCAGCATTTCTTGTTCATTATGCTTTCAGTGCATACACACTACATGCAAAAACATTTCTAGTGTTTGAGACTGGAATCTGTATTTCTCTTTGCATTTGTAGGAAACCAATTGCTATTAACCATTTGTTGAGTGATTATTGAAATCTTTTTTTCTCTAGGAGCCATCATTTGAGATGCTGCCGTTGACTGGAAAAACAATAATATTTGATAGCTTTCCTGATCCTTCAGATACCTGGGAAATAATTGAGACTATTGGCAAAGGAACATATGGAAAAGTTTTCAAGGTGTTAAATAAGAAAAATGGCAGCAAAGCAGCAGTCAAAATTTTGGATCCCGTTCATGTAAGCTACTTAAATTATTTGGTTTGTGCTTATTTAATTGTAAGTGAATTTATGTAGTCTTTTTTCTTTTATTCTTGATAGATCATTTGCATTAGAAGTTATAGTGGAATAAACTGCTTCAGCCTGCTAAGTATCAGGCTAGCTATCCATGCATTTTTCATATCATAAGTGATCTTGGAAGTGGTTGCATATGGTAGAAGTCAGAGGTATACCTAAACTTTTTTAGTTTTACTTTTGGTTCCCCCTTGTTTATCTTTTACTTTCAGAAGCAGAGTTGGTTATTTTCTTTTTCAGTACCAGGAGTCCTAGCCGCTTCTATTTTTACCGTTGTTCCCTTTCCTTTTATCTTACTGGCTAGTATGTAAAAATAAAAAATATTATGTATTTTTAAGTGCTTTAGATGTACCTTCAAGCATCTATTTTGAGTCCGTGCTTTTAGCTGAGTTACATGCTATGAGAAGTACTTTAAAAATAAAATAGCATACTTTATTTTTATTGTTATTGTTGGTTTTGCATTTTCAGAATATGCCAAAATACGTAGATATCACAAAGGGATCAATCTTTTCAAATGGAAAATACAAAGGCAATAGCTCCTACACACAAAGGACCCAGTGACTGGGAGGTGGAATTATTATGTTGTTGAGTATGCTTTCTGTTCTCAATAACTGACATTTGTTGGGTGGCAGATTAATGCTCAAAGAGTAAGGAAGAACATTAGTCTGGTTTGTAAAGGCATACCCAATTAACTTCAGTGGTGCTGCACATGGCTTGGGTTTTTTCTTGAGAACAGTAACTAACAAAACATGGACAAGTTGCTGTTCCTGTTTCAAGTGGCCCGTTTGAGCTCATCTTTTGCACTCCCAGTATAGGGTTGTGAGGCATGTGCCTCCATTGCATGAGATCTGGCCAGGAAGATCATGCCATGACGTGGGAAATGCTGCACGTCTGGAGCTGCAGTCACACAGGGCTCTGTCTACCCCTGCATATCACACAGTGTCAAATTACAATCCCATGGCCTACAGTCCCATGGCCCCTAAATCCATGAAACGTGGTTGTGAAAATGTAGCATCTTGCATTGTTTGCTGTGTTTCTTGTTGATCTGCTTTTTATTTCAGCATGCTTTCGAAGCAACAAAAGGAGGCTCATCTCAATTCAGTATCACATACCTCTCCCAAAGTAAATGTGATCTGCAGCCAAGTGATAAGCATCTTGATGAATTCAAATGCATTGGAAACTCTATTTTTGACTCTGTTGCTTTGTGTAAACAAGATTCTTGTGCTTACAATAAGTAAGCAGGTCTTTCTTGCATTTGATGTTTGTCTAAATGCCTGTATAACAGGAAATGCTTCTGCTTTCATCTATTTTGCAAGTATTCAGGGATGATTCTTAAGTGGCAACTGGCTGTGATAGGGATTACTGGAGGCATCAGGGAATGTGTACCATGTTGTGTACACTTTGGAGGTTGAAGGAAAAGAATAAAGGATGATGATGGGAAAAAAGAAGAGGTAGTAAAGCTGATGCTAGAGGAAAGAAATTAAGTAGGAGATAAAGGTATGTAGAATATAAAGAGGACAAGAAGTATGGTGGATAGAGAGGCAACACAAGAAATTGAAGAAGGGAAAACATAACTGATGAAAACAGATTCCTCATTTTAATGAAAAAATGAAGTCAGTAATGCATTCAACATCACACTTCAAAATTTGAATCTTTTAACTGAATATATTTTCCTTTTTACTCTAAGAATACTATTCTTTTTCCCCTCCTCTTTACAGGATGTCTGGAGCAGCTGCTGTACCTCCATATTACTGTTAAAATGGCAATTCTATATTAGAAATAGGGTGAAAGCAATAAACTAGTTCTTTTTGTTTAAACTGAAAATATTATTAATGGCTGCAGAGGGAGCCATTGCAATGAAGAAAGATACTTTCTGTATTCTTTAAATTTTACAATTTTTTTCTTTGAAGAAGGTTTCAGAATTGTGCCACTTGATAGACTGAAAAAAGCAGAAATGTGTTTTTATGTCACTTGGTTTAACTCATATTTCTAAATTAAACAGGGAAACTAAATTATCATGGGTGATGCTGAGACTGGAATAAGCATTTTATGTTTAATCCTTTAGAGCTCTCAGATTCTTTGTGTTGAATAACAGTTCAGCTTTTTGAAATTGAAACAGGAAAGTGGAGGTGTTGAAACGAGATTATATGAAGATGGAACTGAGAATGTTCTTAGTCTTGTCCTCGGGGCTATAAGTAAATGCCATTGTACTTTAGGGGTCTTAGCCAAATTATCCTGTGTCTAAATTCACATGAAAATATTCCCTCTACCTTTTAAAAGAGGTACTCTTATGCAGGTAAATATGTTCAATTCAACCAAATACTTCAAGTTCTCTTCCTTTGTAAGAATGCAGAGGAAAATTTTTCTTTCTAGTACACTCAGAATTAATATTCTGTTAATTTCATTCTCTCTTTTAATTTCTCCTTATAATAGTAAAAACCCTCATGTAATATGAGTGCTCCTCAGGAGACAGAAACCTCTATTAAATCCCAGTAGAACAATGGGCTAATTCTTTTCCAGTTTCCCCAAGGCAGCCAGGGCTCTTGTAAGTCTCGTGTGTGGTTTTTTTGCTTTTGACTCTTTGGGGGTTTTTGTGGGGTTTTGTGTTTTTTTTTCTTTATGATCTGTCCTTTTGTTTTTGCCAGATATATTTTCTCTCTTCATCCCTTCTTATTTTCCACTCTTTCCTTTTCCTTCCTCTGCCACTTTCAGTGCCTTGGTTTGTTCTTTCTTCCTTCCTTGCACTTCTTTTATTGGCTGTATTCTGTGTTGTGCTTACGGGAAAATTAAGTCAGAGTTCTTCCTTTTTATGAACTAAAATTTCTGCTGTGTTTCAGCTACTCCAACAACAACAAAAAAAATCTCTAAAACCCTTCCTGTGAGAAGGCTTGTTCTTGTAATCTCAGTATGAAAGCTTAATGGCCCAATTCCTGAAGATACTGGTGATGGGCAAAGTTCTTTGAGACCAAGACTGGTCTCAAGATAAAAGGCTAATATGAGAAACTTGAGTTGGATTTAGCATTGGAGAGACGTGTATAAGAAACAAGTGAGCGAAGTACTCTTAGGGACAGATGTCTTTGGTGCTGAAAAAAATGAGGAGGAGTGTCATTCATTGGGAATACAAAGCATCCCTTTTCTCTGTCATGGTCACTTCCGTTTGGCAGTGGTGAGACAAGTTTTCAGCACTGAGTAGGTACTTTTCATTGATGTGAAATGCATTCATATGGATAGTGGAGTTCATAGATAGCCTTCCTCTAGAATTGATTTTTCATTTCTATTTCTTTTTGGGTGAGTGTAAATTGTATTAAAAATGTTTTAAATCTAGAAACAAGTATGTTAACATTTTTTTGAGATCTAAACAAGGCGGGGAAATGACTGCAGCTCTTCTGCCTTCACCTGTGGCCAGGATGGATTGAATATTTTCTCAGCATGACTGAAACACAGTCTGATAGTGTCCCCTCAATGAGCAATTCCAGTACATAGGTGGAGGGGGGTTACATGAGTCATCCAGTGCCCACTGTTGCTAGCATCCATGTTTGGTCTGGCAGGGCTTGCACAGCTCCTGATGCATGTGTTGGCAAAACTTGTCCTCATCTCTCATCTCCAAATGAATTTCCTCTGCTGTGTAAGACACCTAAAGTCTGTAACGGAAGACTGACAAAATCCACAAAAAATCCACTGTAGTTCAGTAGGAGAACCTGGAGAGATCATGGATGTCACCAATTCCTGTGATAGCAGAAAATGAGAAAAATTCCTAATGATTCTAGAAATTGGGATGATAAATTAGTAAGATGTGGCTGCAGTCATATTTGTTTGTGCACAGAAGGGTAGAGAGAGGTTGTTCCAGCTGCACCATCTCTAGTTGGAGACACTCTTGAGAATGACTTCCTGAGGCATCTGCACCAGTGCAATCCACCCAATTTGTGGATTGTAGTGGCTTTGCCTTGAAATGCTCCTTCCCCATTCTCCTGAGGGCTGCTCTGTCATACCCAGTATGTTCATTAGTTAAAATTGATAAAGACAAAGTAAAAAAAAAAAAACCAAAACAAACAGATGACTGATTTGTATTGAGTAAGAACCAACTTTGTAGCCCTGCAAAAGGTACATTCATGTTCTGTTTGGTTTTTTTCTTTGCATTATTTCAAACTACATTTGAATAGCCAAAAAATGCTGTGTTGGGTTTTTTAAATGGCTATCACTATTTATTTATTAACTATTATGTATTTCTCATTTGTGACACTAGGATATTGATGAAGAAATTGAAGCAGAGTACAACATTTTGAAAGCTCTTTCTGATCATCCCAATGTAGTCAAATTCTACGGCATGTACTATAAGAAAGATGTGAAAAATGGAGACCAGCTTTGGCTAGTTCTTGAGGTAAATAATTCAGAAAAAGAAGTTTTCTTCCAGTTGATGTTCCTATGTTGAGTATAAACTCAGTGAATGAGATGCAAGTAATTTGATGTTTTTCAGTAGTTTGATGTTTTTCTTTAGAGTGGTTGCATGTGAAGTGATAAATGCTGTTGTTAGTCTTTTCAGTGTTCTGAATTAATGATCTGCTCTGAGTTCAGCATTCTTATTTTGATATTATACTAATAGTGCTGTGCCTTCAGAATTAGGGTATAAATTCTAATAAGACTTCGTAGGATTTTCTACCCAAGATATTTCTTTGGCTTGTCATGGGAATCTTCCTCTGGTAGCATTTCTTTATATATGACTAAGATATGATATAACAGTTAAAGAAACAACTATGATGATTTTTTTTTTCCAAATGAAATGGTAGCATTTAATTAATTGAATAGCTTTTTTTGTACAAGTAAATGGATAAATAGATAAATAAGCCAATAAAAATAGGTTACTGTCCAAATACTATTGAAAGCAGCAGGATTTCTTCAAATGGAGTCAGAGCAAGACACTGCCTGTAATTTGTGTGTTTTGGTATTTAGTTTTGATTAATCTAGGACTAAAGAGCTTGATTGTTATTGTTTTCATAGATTCACTATAACCTGCAAAAACTTCCTTCTCTCCCTAGAGGAAAATGAAGAAGAATGTTTGACAGGAATAGTGTGCCTTTGCTAACAATGAAGGCTCTTGCTGATGTCTGATCAGTGTTTGATAAGGTTGAAAATGAAAAATTGGTTGTATTTTATGATTTGTCAGTTAAGTGATTACAAATCTCCTGCCAAATACCACAGTGATACACTGATATATAATCCTGGAAGCAAGTTCTAAAAAATGCTTAAGTTCTAAAATCTTTTCCAAATTCTTCTGACTTGCATTGGGAAGGTGTTTTTAAGAATTGTTTCCATCAGAAACGGAAATAAATTATTAGGTTAGGCTGACATGAAAAGACGTCAGCTCTTTGTGCAGTGAGCATCTTTGAAAATCTAGCTTCTGTGGGCATTTGAAACTCCATCTGTGGAACTTCTGGCCTGTAAAGGATGGATGCCAAACAGGCAGGATGGAACAGACTGTGAGAAAACAGTCTGTTTATGTTTTAACTTTTATATTTCACACAAATTTACTTTTTTAATTTGAAAAACACAAACTTGCATCTGGAGTACAAGTTTTATATTTACTCTTTGCATGCCCAGCTGTACACATGCAAGTGCTAGTATGGAGCATGTGGAATAGTCTTGGATGTTTTCTGTCGCTGCACATGTAGATCTATGAATGCAGTGGATTTCAGTTGGTGTGTGTACACATAGATATGCATGAGTAGAGAAATAAATTCCAATGGTGACTTTGAAGCTTTTCTTTTAATAAAAGTATCTGTGAGAGAAAACTGTTGTGGAACAGATTCCTCTGCTTAAGTGTCACCTTTCTTTAAGTTTGTATGCAGCTTTACCGGGCTGTTGCAGTTTGTTTTTCATAGTAGCTATTTAGGTGTCCTACAGTTCACAAGAATTAAGATATCTTCTTCATCTCAGTTGTGTTTTGTTGGGGTTTATTTTGACAATATATTGGTGTCTAAATTCATAAAGGTGGTGATTAGTCCATACTTTAGCTTACAGAGACATCTGTTTCCATTGCTTTGGGGTTTTTTTAAATTTGTTTTATCATAAGAGAGCATTTTCACTTTAGAACTGTTGTTTCCCCTGAAGAGGGGAATCCAGTCTTGAAATTTAGATTTGCAAAATTTGATGCCAAGGAGATCTTTCTCATCTCCGTGGCTCAAAAAAAAACCCTATCAACTAATCCCTGCAAATTCTATGTGATCCTCTGAAATTAAGATGGACCATTTGCAGTCAGCATGTAGCCTGTAGATATGTTCCCAGAGACTGAAGGGACAGTGTAGACCACTGCAGTTTGCATAATCTGAAGCAGCTTCCATAGTATCGGAATGCAAAATGATGTCAAGGAGGAAAAGTAGAGAATTGTGCACTGTAGTATTCTGTATTCCTGCAAAGCTGCAGCTGCCAGGAAGATCTTACAGGAGCAGTGGGGCATTGAAAGCAGAGCTTGTTGCTCTGCTCTGCTTTAGTGTTTGTTCTGTGATGGAATCTGTGTGCTGGAGGTTTTGGAGGGTAAGTTTCTGAAATTCCACTAGGAATGAGTTTTGATAGATGACAAAACTCAGAATTTAGTAATGAACTTAGATCCACCACTGTAGCTTACCAACAGAATTACTCTGTGGAGTGTCTGAATCTGAATCTATGTATTTAGATGCTATTAAATAACTTTTTCCTAGAGGAAAAAAATCCTCAGCTGTTTAAGACATGTCCCATGCAACATATCAACAGCAAGCCAGTCTGGAAAGAAAGATTGTTGCCAGGTTTCTTTTCTTCTAATTCAGTCTTTAGCATTGGTTTTATGAATTGTACTGTTCAATTCTTACACCTTTTTTAGTATATGCAGTGTCATGATTTTTGATGTATCCCATAGTTTTTGGTAGCTGTTTTGCAATACACTTGATCATGTTTGGGGAAAAGAGGCTAATCAGGTTTGAACTAGGTTAAGGTAAGTGGCTGAGGTATAGTTTTGAGGCCAAAACTGACCAAGTACTTCAAAAGACTGTCCTAAAATATTATAAAGGGTTCTTGAGAGATTTTAGTCCTGAATACTTGAATTATCATAAAATTGTCAGACCTTATAAGTTACCACCCATTCTGAATACTAGAAAAGACGTTGGATGGGTTTATGATGAGATTATTGCAGTCTTGGTGTGAAATATTCTGCCCCACCTTCCATCTCTGTTTTCCAAAATGTATCTATTCGTATATGATTTGAACCTGTACTCTCAAATTCTTGGACAAGGTAGTTGGACATTTCATTTTTAACTAAAATTGACACTTGGATTTGCTGCTCAGTAAGTGCCTCAGCAGTTGAGGCACTGGATGTTCACAGGCCAAATTGAAGGCATTGTCCTCTGACCAGAAATCATTAAACCAGATGACTGTCAAGAAATATTTACCTACAACTAAATGGAATTTGGAGCTGACCTATTGGTGTGGGTCATCTGACAGTTTCTTGGCCTATAGAAGCCAAAACCAGTTGCTTCAGAATGATGGAAATGATCTGTTACAGAATAATCCTTGGGTAAACATGACACTTCTTCCGAATCTCTTCACTTAATAATTGCCTAATAGCATGTGACTTTATAGAAATATTTTTTCCAATTTGAAGTGAAATTCCTCATTTTCTGCTGAACTTGGATTTAATTTTCTTTGTTGTATATCTCTGTGCTAATGTGCAGACTACCTAACTGATCTTGTAAAGCATTTTGAAGTTACAGTGCTGTGAGCTGGAAATATGCTTCTAAGAGAGTAGAAGCTATTTTTTTTTTCCTGCTAAAATAAACAAATACTTTTTTTGATATAATAATGTATCAAGAGCTACATAGTTAATCTCATATTTTGATTTAACCTTTTGGTATAGATCTCATAAGTTAAAAACCATGTATAATGATTACCTGGAAAAATAAACAAACTTTCTGCATAACACAGTTCTGCGTGTGACACCAGTATAGTATTGTAGAAGTGTAAAGCTACGATGTTATATTCATCTTAACCTATAAGGACTTAAACCAGAGACTAGTATAGAATATCAATTTTAACAAATAATTAAAAACTAAAGGAAAATTAATAATATGAGAGCTTTTAGCGTCATTACCATTTTTTGGTAACAAAGTAACCTAACTTTCTCAATTCAGCATTTTTAAGGAAACCACCTACAAGAATGAATGTGAAAGAGGAATACATCTGTATGGAGTAACAGTACTCTTGACTCTGTTCAGAAATGCCTTTCTCTCAGTAGGCTGCACTCAGATAGGCTGAACGTCAGCCCCTGTGTGGATGCTGTTCTAATTATGTTTATAATAATGAATATTGCTGGAGGGAGGATTCTTGCCACGTGTGTCCAGAGATGCAGGCAGAAGAAATTGGCCTGTTGAGTTTGTGTTGAAAAGAAACCACTTGAGTATTACACTGGGATGAATCAGCTTAGCAGTTTAACGTCAGCAGACATCAGCATGATGAAACAGCTAAGGCAGAATGTGCTATAGCCTATTTCTGCTCTGGATGTTAGCTCAGAAGGGAATAGATCTGAGATAGTTGGAAATCTGCTCATGGAAGATAGAGCAGAGAGGTAAATTGTATCAGGCCCTACAGGTGAACATGTAAGTCAGGGGCAGATGAGGAGAAAAAGTGGCATAGCCCTTGTCTGAGATCTGGTGCAAAGAACAACCTAGTCAAGACTGAATGATGGCTGAAAATACCACCGCAAGGTAGATGATACATCTTGCGTACCTTTTACTTGCTACTGTAAGCCACAGACTGGGAATCGTAATGCAACATATTTCTATAGTTGATTTCCTACACAGATCAGATAGAACTTCAAGAAGCGTCTCAGTCCATTTTCAAATGACACATAGTTATGCATGCCATATTTGAGATGGACTTGTGTTTGTGAGTTACGTAAGTAAGCTAGTATATTTTATCATTCTCAATATATTTTTATGCTTAGGAAATAGAGGGAACATCCATTATTTTTATAGTAAAAAAATTAAAGATTTTGTTTTCATGAGTTAAAATTTAGGTTGGCAAGGGAAAAAAGTTTTGGTGGAGTGACTTCCCACCTAAAAATACAGTTTCATAATATCAAAGCGTTTTGTAGAAATCTCTCCATTTTTGAAAGGTCTATGTCCATTTCTGGAGAGGTGGAGAGAATCACCAAGAAGTTATAGAAATAAACTGCTTTGTGCTGAATGTCAGTAAGACTGTAAAAGCATTCTTTTTAGGTGTGGTGTTTTTTCTAGTGTGTACTTGAACATTTCAAGAACATCTGCAATGCCCTTCTGAGTTAGACTAATGGTCCATGTAGCATAGCATTCAGTCTTCTGTGGTGGCACTAGATGACGTTTAGGAAGAGACTGTCCA